AACCGCTGATCGACTTCATCCCCGTCCTGACTCCCCCTCTTCCACGTTCTCCTTCTGACGCTCCATCCAACTCCACCTCGCTCCTCTTGCCTCCTCGCCGCGCGTCCTCCTCCTCCTTCTCCTTCTCCTCCACCTCCTCCTCCTCCTCCTCGTCCGCGCTCATCGTCCGAATCACTCCTCCTCCTCCTCCTCCTCTTTGCTCTCCCCATCTTACGGTTCCCTGTTCCGACCCAATGCTCTCCTATCTTTCGTTTCGTCGTTGTTATCCATCTTGCTCGTCGTTTTTGTCGTCGTCGCTCGTATCCACACTCCTCATGGCTACGGATCCCCACTATCCCCATCCCGTTGCGCATTGTTTCGACAATTATTATGGATCTTGTTCGCGCCGAGAGCACAGCCAACAACATTCTTTCTGGCCAAGAGTACGAACAGATACGGCGCGGCACTGTCACTCTTTGAAAATAGATACGAATAGATATGCAGACAAATAGATAGGGTCTCATTTTTGATATGCTTGAAACATAGATACGTTTAGATACGGCGGCGCTCCCGCACAGGCCAGGGGCGCGCCTCTGAAAAGAGTATCTATATTGTCGCCGTTGCAAAAAATAGACACGATGGGCTTCTCGCCTGCACCTGGGCGCGAGCGCATCCGAACGCATCTCTCTTAAGATACAGTCAAAAACCTAATAAGGACGCGCGGTAAGGACCGAAGACCCTTGGAAGCCAAAGTTGGGGTTTTTGGGGCGGCGGACGACGAAAACCCCAAAGGACGCAAGAGCAAGGAAGGGCAAGGACGCAAAGGGTACCCTGAGCAAAGTCGCGCGTCCTTAGTAGGGTTTTTGACTGCACGTCTTGCAGGGGGCCACGGGCCGGCGAGGCCGGGGGGGGGGCCGGCGCGCCCCGGGGGATCGCGGCTGCTTGGGGCCTGGGCTGGCCGAGGGCCAGGGCCGGGGGGCGGGGGCCGGGGCCGCGGCGGGGGGAGGGGTCCTGCGAGCTCCCCATAGGCCGACAGGGAGGCCTCGCTCCCAGCCCTTTTTTTTTTTTTTGTTTTCTGCAAAATGGGGAGCGCCCGGGGGAGGGGAGGGAGGGCCGCGGAGAGCTCCCGGGGGGGAGGGTATACTCTGACCCGGGGCCCCCTCCTCCCTCCCACCCCCCTTCGATGCCCTCTCCCTGCCCGCCCCCCCCCTTCGAGACCCTCTCCCTCCTCTCTCCCCCCCCCTTCTATCCCTCTCCCTGCCTCCCCCCCCCGTCAGGGAAGGGAAGAGGGGAGGAAATCGACTCAACTACGACGTCTCTTTTCTCGGTTCGTTTCTAGATTTCCTTGGGACTGGCGACGGCGACGACGACGTCGACGACGACGACGAAGACGAAGCCGAAGCCGAAGCCGAAGACGAAGACGAAGACGACTGCGTCTCACACACGCCGACTGGGTCCGCGGATTTCGCGTTCCGTCTGGTACCACCTCGACTGTCCCTCGCTTTCGGCCGCCTCCGCTCCCAAACTGGAACCATACGATACCAATGGACGGCCCTCCTCCTCCTCGTCCTCGTCCTCGTCATTCTCCTCGTCGTCCTCCTCCTCATCCTCCAATCCTCCTTGTGGTGGCCCGCGATGGTTGCCTAGGGCGGTGCGAGATCGACCCGCTCGAACGATCCGTCCGCCGACGAGTACACCCTGCCGACGGGTGCGTTCCTCCAGCGCGCGGACCCTCCTCCCCGAAATGGTGTTCACTGCACCGGCGTTTGTCTACTGCACTACAGTCGGGGCATTGACCTAAGGAACCCTGAGTAGGGAACGAGGCCCTTGTTCCCATGAGTTCAACTTCGATTTCCCGGGGAAAGCCTGAGGAAAACCTGAGGCAAATTTTGAAACTATCAAGGAACACCGAGGCCCTCCCCAACGAAAAGGGTTCCTTCTTCAGCGCCCCGACTGTAGCTGTCGTTCCCCTCGTCCCGTCCAGTCTTACTCTGGCCGTGCCAGCATGGCCCAGCGACCACGTCCCGGAGCCACCCGCCGTGGAGTGCTGCCGGCCTCGTGCCCGTGTGGCCCGACTTGGTCTCCTCGCTTCCCCCCACGCGCAAGGCAAAGTCCAAGATCCGAGCGGGTCGTCACTTGAAAGACCCAGTTGGGTCAGATAAATAGCAAGTGCTCGATGATCAATCAGAGAAGGAAAGGGAAGAGCACGACACAGACGAGGAAGGAAAGGGCCGAGGATGGAAAGCCGGCCTTGCAGCTCCTGCGGCGCCTTCGTCGCGCCGCCTTAGTCGCTCCCCCCCCCCCCTCAGATCCCGGCGTTGCAGCAGAAATCGCGATGCCCGGTGCCTCCTCGTGTTCGGCCCCAGGGGAGGCCGCCTTCCGGCCCAGAGGCCGTCAACAAAGGGCTCCAGATAAAAGTCAGCGAGCGAAGAACAGTATAAAATAAACTTTTTCGCCGTCGGGGGCGCCTGTCCCTGGGCGGCTGGAAAGTTTATACCTCTACGGTGCCACCGTAAGGGTATAAACTTTCCAGCCGCCCTGGGACAGGCGCCCCCGACGGCGAACAAGTTTATTTTATACCGTTCTTCGCCCGTTAAAAAAGCCAGGCCCCAGGGACGGGGTCGAGAGATCCACGGGGGCCGACGTCGCGACGGAACAGATTGCAGCGCAGTCCTTGCACACTGGCCTCGGCGGTACCCGACCCGATGCACTGTCACGTCGCTCGGGCACCCAGAGGCACAGCACCCTGCTTGCCATCGCTCGGGCGTGTGTTTTTCCCAACCATCCTGTGGTGTTGGGTCCTCGTTTTGAAGAGACGGTGCCCCGCGTTCTCCTTCCTTCCTCCCGCTGCCTCCTCCCCCTCCTCCCTCCTCCCTCCTCCCCCTCTTCCCTGCGTTTCACCCACCCAGTACAGCGTTTCGTGGCCCCATAGGAGCTCCGCCGAAGGCCCCAGTGCTGCCGCCCGCATGCGTCACGCACACCCAATTCGGCACACCCCTCACACGTTTCGTGGCCCCATAGGGAGCTCCGCCGAAGGCCCCAGTGCTGCCGCCCGCATGCGTCACCCACACCCAATTCGGCACACCCCTCACACGTTTCGTGGCCCCATAGGGAGCTCACCGAAGGCCCCAGTGCTGCCGCCCGCATGCGTCCCGCACACCCAATTCGGCACACCCCTCACACGTTTCGTGGCCCCATAGGGAGCTCCGCCGAAGGCCCCAGTGCTGCCGCCCGCATGCGTCACGCACACCCAATTCGGCACACCCCTCACACGTTTCGTGGCCCCATAGGGAGCTCCGCCGAAGGCCCCAGTGCTGCCGCCCGCATGCGTCACGCACACCCAATTCGGCACACCCCTCACACGTTCGTGGCCCCATAGGGAGCTCCACCGAAGGCCCCAGTGCTGCCGCCCGCATGCAGGGCACACCCCTCGCACGTTTCGTGGCCCCATAGGGAGCTCCACCGAAGGTCCCGGTTGGTGTGCCCGCATGAGTCCCGCACATTCATTTCGGCACACCCTCACACGTTTCGGGGCCCCACAGGGAGCTCCACCGAAGGCCCCAGTGCTGCCGCCCGCATGCGTCCCGCCCACCCATTTCGGCACACCTCTCACGCGTTTCGTGGCCCCGTAGGGAGCTCCGCCGAAGGTCCCAGTTGGTGTGCCCGCATGCGTCCCGCACACCCATTTCGGCATACCCTTCACACGTTTCGTGGCCCCATAGGGAGCTCCACCGAAGGCCCCAGTGGGTGTGCCCGCATGCGTCCCGCACACCCATTTCGGCACACCCCTCGCACGTTTCGTGGCCCCTCACACGTTTCGTGGTCCCACAGGGATCTCCACCGAAGGCCGCAGTGGGTGTGCCCGCATGCGTCCCGCACACCCATTTCGGCACACCTCTCGCACGTTTCGTGGCCCCGTAGGGGGCTCCACCGAAGGTCCCAGTGCTGCCGCCCGCATGCGTCCCGCACACCCATTTCGGCATACCCTTCACACGTTTCGTGGCCCCATAGGGAGCCCCGCCGAAGGCCCCAGTGCTGCCGCCCGCATGCGTCCCGCACACCCATGTCGGCACACCCCTCTCGCGTTTCGTGACCCTTCACGCGTTTCGTGGCCCCATAGGGAGCTCCACCGAAGGCCCCAGTGGGTGTGCCCGCATGCGTCCCGCACACCCGTTTCGGCCCACCCCTCGCACGTTTCGTGGCCCCGTAGAGGGCTCCACCGAAGGTCCCAGCGGGTGTGCCCGCATGCGTCCCGCACACCCATTTCGGCACACCTTTCACACGTTTCGTGGCCCCATAGGGAGCTCCACCGAAGGCCCCAGTGAGTGTGCCCACATGCGTCCCGCACACCCATTTCGGCACACCCTTACACGTTTCGTGGCCCCATAGGGAGCGCCACCGAAGAAGATATTCACAATTGCGGTACTCACAATTGCATATGGTTGTTTCGGCGAGGACCATCGAGGAGCATCTTTGACCTTTCAGCGAAACAAATTCGCGCACGGAATCGAAACATGCACGGGGAATGGACGTCCGAGCGATGGCGAGGCCTGGTGGACGCCTTCTCCCTCGCATCGGGGAGCCCGGATGCCCTCCAGCAGCACGGGGCGCGCCCCCGCTTCCTTCGGGGGCCTCGGCCAGGCTCCGCCCCGGCGGCCGCCTCCGATGCCCCCCCCGGCGGAGGCGCAGCATCCGTGCATCCAGCGCACGCTTTCTCCCTCGCAGCGGGTAGCCCGGAGGCCCTCTGGCAACACGGGGTGCGCCCGGAATCCCTCCGGGGCCTCGGCCAGGCTCCGCCCCAGAGGCCCTGCGCCAAGGGAGGCAAAACCACTCCGGGCTCCATGGTGGGCGTTTCTTTGACGGGCCCGGGCGCTTATACCAAGCAGCCCTACCCTGCTCGATTCCTTCCTGAGCCTATAGGGTGCGCTCACCAAACGCCTGTGCTTGTCGGGGTGCGTAAGCAGCTACCAGTTGATTGCCACAAGGGTGGTGCTTCTGCTCTCCACTGCGAGCCTCGCGAGGAGTTCGACAAGCTGATGAAGGCCGCCGACAGCTTCGGCAGCAAGATGGACAGGAAGAGGAAGAAGGCGGCGCCGCCCCCCCCCTCCGAGCCCGCGGGGGAGTCGGCGGCGCGCGCCGAGGGAGGAGGTTGCGACGGGGAGGCCTCGAGGTTCGGGCTTCTCGGGCGTTTTCGTAGGTGTCGGGGGCGGCAAAGAGGGGGGTGATGACGAAGGGGGGGGATATCATGGCGTGGGCTATGATATTTTCCGAGATTTCATGGCGCCCTTTTGTTGTTTCATTGCGTCCCTGGCCCCCCTTGGGCCGCGCACATGCCGCTGGCATGATTTGCACCCCCCCTCCTGGACGCCCCCCTCTTGGCCGCCCCCGAAGGTGCGTTCTCGGCGGCTTCCCAGCCTGGGGATGCCTTTCAGCGGCGGCGCCTCGCCGAGGGCGTTCCGAGGCTGCCCAGATCGTCCCGAACGGCCGTCAGGGAGCCGAGCTACGACCCGACAACCATAAGGCGCTCGAGAGAGGGCAGGTCTTCTCAGAAGGCGGCGGGGCTTCTCAGAGGCCCTCCAGCCTTCTGAGAAGCCGTCTGTCTTCGGGGAAGGCTTCAAAAGCTTCTCGGAAGGCTGGAGGCCTTCCCGGCCTTCTGACACGGCCCGCCCCCTCTGCCTCCCCCCTGGTCGCGTCGCCGACGTGGGCGCATGACATGTATCCAGGGGCTCCGATCGCCCACGTCTTCAACGGGGGGCTTTTGGCTCGAGGGGCCGCGGAATACGCGGAGCATCCTCGAGCCCGCAGGCTTCGCATGACGTTCGCAGCGTTTGCCAGGTTTCTCTCGATGGGGGCGAGCGCTCCATGGTGGCCGCGCGTTCATCCTTGGACAAGACTGCCCTGAGCCGTACCGGCGGCCCAGATTGGTAGGTCGACCCTGCCAGATCAAGGGTACCTTGGTGTCCTATGTCTTGCGACCAATGCCTCCTGCATTCCTGCGGCAATGTGGCCCTCGGAAGGGTCTTTTGTCCTCTCGCGTGTCCTGTCCAATGAAGTCCCACTGTACGGAGTCTTGGGGCGAGTAGCTGTGGCGGCCGCTGGACGAGCTGCTTCTGTGGAGGTCAAGTGAGGACGGCGACGGCGGGTGGTCGGAGGGCTGGGGGGCGAGAGAGCACAGTTCCTTGTGAGGCTCCGTCATACCTCAGAAGGAGGGGGGGGGGGGGGGAAAAAGCACAGACACGATTAATCGTCGATCACCGGCAAAATATGAGAAAATATGGGAAGTGGGGGGGGAGACAAAAACTTAGAAAATATAGGAAAATATGGTGAATCCTGTCATTTGTGTCTATTTATCCGTAAGGGCTTCGCCCCATGCCGCCGGCCCCTTGTCTCGGATAATGGGAGATGCAAAAGCTGAATCATGAGGTCTTAGCGCCGCCGTGAAGCAGTGTGGGACCTGTTTGTTTTTCGACCCTGACCCTACGGATCTGCATGAGGGGTGCTGCCGAATTTCAGAAATGTGGCAAATCCCCTGTGTTTTTGGACCCTGACCCTACGGATCTGCGTGAGGGGTGCCGCCGACTTTCAGAAATGTCGCAAATCCCTATTGTTTTTGGACCCTGACCCTGCCGATCTGCGTGAGGGGTGCCGCCGAATTTTCGAAATGTGGCAAATCCCCTATGTTTTTGGACCCTGACACTGCCGATCTTCGTGAGGGGTGCCGCCGAATTTCAGAAATGTGGCAAATCCTTATGTTTTTGGACCCTGACCCCGCCGATCTGCGTGAGGGGTGCCAGCGAATTTTAGAAATGTGGCAAATCCTGTGTGTTTTTGCACCCTGACCCCGCCGATCTGCGTGAGGGGTGCCGACGAATGTCAGACATGTGGCAAAACCGATGTGTTTTTGGACCCTGACCCCGCCGATCTGCGTGAGGGGTGCCAGCGAATGTCAGAAATGTTGCAAATCCTTAGTGTTTTTGGACCCTGACCCCGCCGATCTGCGTGAGGGGTGCCACCGAATTTTAGAAATGTGGCAAATCCTGTGTGTTTTTGGAACCTGACCTCGCCGATCTGCGTGAAGGGTGTAAATTTTTACCCACCCCAGCAACTCAGAGCACACGCTCAGGGCGTGGTAAAAATGCCCGTTTTTGGCCTCCCCCCCTCGCGCGGTCCATCAACAAGGAACAGTAAGCAGCAAGAAGCAGAACTGTAACAGTGGAAACTGGAAGCTGCAACTGGTACAGGAAACTGCGAACCTTCGCCCTACAGTCTGGTGGCCCAACAAGGGGGCCGGCGGATTTGTGTGTGTCCCAGGGCCCCTTCAATACCGTCTCTCCCAACACGACTCGGACCGGCCTTCGCCGAAGCTGCGGCGCGGGGAGGCTGGCGCGCGTCTCCACCGGCACTCTGCCCGCACTGCCAGGGCTCCCTGGCGGCGAGACGACATCCCGCCAGAGGTCCAGGAGGCCGATCTCGCAGAGGAAGATGCGGGCATAGACATCAACTGTCGGAGCTCCGAGTGTTTTTTCCCAACCATCCTGTGGTGTTGAGTCCGCGTTTTGAAGAGAGCGCCCCGCGTCACCTCCTCCTCGCTCCTCCTCCCCTTCCTCCTCCTCCTCCTCACTCCTCCTCCTCTTGCTCCTCCTCCTCCCCTTCCTCCTCTTCCTCCTCACTCCTACTCACTCCTCCCCTTCCTCCCCTTCCTTCTCCTCCTCACCCCTCCTCCCCTTCTTCCTCCTCCCCTTCCTCCTCCTCCTCCTCCGACATACGCTGTCGGAGCTGCGAAGGTGTTCTTGTCTACGTTCCTTGACGCCGGGGCCTCCCAAGGAGCGGGGGGCGGCCGGAGCCCTGGCCGAGGCAGGGGGCCTCTTGGCGTCGGGGGCGCTCCCGGGCCCCGCACGCTCGAGGCCTCGGGCTTGCGGCTGGAACGCCCTGGCGCAGCAGCGCGGGCAGCGACGGGGGAGGGTCGGGCCAGACATCGGGCGTCTCGAAACAAAATCGAGACAGAGGTTTTTCATAGTTTTTGGCCTCTCGGGGCCCTCGCCGGGCCTCGGGACCGTCAAAAAGCAACTCGGGATGAAAAATCGGTCCCAGGGAAGTGGTCGGGAGGTCGGGGGCCCGCGTCTCGAAAAAATCGAGGGATTGGGAAAGGGGGGGGGTACGAAATCTGCTGCATGCAGCCGGTTTCAGCCCCACCGAGGGGCCCCTCTTCCTCGATACGTAGCCGCCTCCGACGCCGGGAGGCGCCGGGAGAATCAGCTACGCAAGCTGCTTCTCAAACCCCCCCTTTGCTATCCCCCCCTTTCGCCCGACCCGGGAGGGGCGGCAATCTTCTGAGGGCGTGCCACTGCCCGCTGGAGGCCGAGGCCACGGTGTCTCCCGCACCTCCAGGGTCAGGGGCGCATGCTCCGTCGATGACGTGCGAACAACCAACGCACACCATACCCATGGGGGCGTCGGAGGGAGGGGGACTGGCTCTGGGTAGGGGTGCGGGTTGTCGGATCCCCAGGGGAGGCTCCCGTTCGAGCGGGGACCCCGTGCGAGCTCCCAGCTTTGAGGCGGGAGGTTGTGGGACAGCTTGCGGGCGGCGAGGCGCGAGGCTCGCCCGGAGGAGGTGCGGAGCGAAGATCCTACCAGCAATCGTACCAGCAGCAATAATAGCAATCGTACCAGTAATAGTAAAAGTAGTAGTAGTCGTCGTCGTCGTCGTGGTAGTAGTAGCAGCAGCAGCAGCAGCAGCAGCAGCAGTAGTAGTAGTAGTAGTAGTAGTCGTCGTAGTAGTAGTAGTCGTAGTAATATTCGTAGCAGTAGTAGTAGTAGTAGTAGTAGTAGTAGTAGTAGTAGTAGTAGTCGTAGTAGTAGTCGTAGTAGTAGTAGTAGTAGCGTAGTGGTAGTGGTCGTAGTCGTAGTCGTAGCAGTAGTAATAGTAGTAGTAGTAGTAGTAGTAGTAGTAGTAGTAGTAGTAGTAGTAGTAGTCGTAGTCGTAGTCGTAGTCGTAGTCGTAGTCGTAGTCGTAGTCGTAGACGTAGTCGTAGTCGTAGTCGTAGTCGTAGTCGTAGTCGTAGTCGTAGTCGTAGTAGTAGTAGTAGTAGTAGTAGTAGTAGTAGTAGTAGTAGTAGTAGTAGTAGTAGTAGTAGTGGTAGTAGTAGTAGTAGTAGTCGTAGTAGTAGTGGTGTTGGTAGTGGTTGTGGTAGTGGTTGTGGTAGTGGTAATGGTAGGGGTAGTGGTAGTGGAAGTGGTAGTGGTAGTGGTAGTAGTAGTAGTAGTAGTAGTAGTAGTAGTAGTAGTAGTAGTAGTAGTAGTAGTAGTAGTAGTAGTAGTAGTGGTAGTAGTAGTAGTAGTAGTAGTAGTAGTAGTAGTAGCAGTATAGTAGTAGTAGTAGTAGTAGTAGTAGTAGTAG